TGTGTATTTTGGAAAATTTGTGTGATGTTACGAAAAATTTTGGTATGTCCGGAAAATTTTTTTGACCCCTAAAATGGTACACTGACCGAAATTTTTTTGGCGACGGGGGGGGGGTAATTTTTGTTTTTGTAAAGTGGAAACACCACATGAAATCTTTAGTCTGGTTCACACGATGAAATAAGCATAAGCAAGCAGAACCTTTGATGTGCATAAGCATAAACATAAGAAGAACAAATGTTGCGTTCTTCTTATGCTTATGTTTATGCACATCAAAGGTTCCGCTGCTTGCATGTGCTTATGCTTATTTCAACGTGTGAACCAGGCTTTTCTGAGCGGTTAAGCCTGGTTCACACGGGACCGTTCATTAATTAAGGACCAATGGGGGGCTGGAGGAAAATTAGGTGGGGAGGTTGCCAAAACAATTTATGGTTAGAAGGGGGCAGCTTTAAAGTGTTTTCAGCATGAAAGGGGGGGTTGCCAAAATTATTTGTGGTAATTATTAATATTTTAGGTTGACCAGTTTCAAATATTCTGGAAAAATTTTTAGACTATGCTGATCTTCGTCCGGAAAATTTTTTTATTTAAATTTTTTTCAAAGCTTCCGACGTAAGTGGCCCTTCTGTGTGAATCTTTATTCTGTGCCGCAAATAAGCAAACAAGATTTTAGGTTTCACACCGATGCATATATTTGCAAAGCATATATTCTCAGTACAGAATTTTTGGTTAGCACTAAAAGGCGAAAGGGTGGAACGTGGAACGCCGGAACGTGGAATGCTTTTCTTTACCTTTTTTTGCTACTTTTTACCTTTTTTGTTATTTATCAATATTTTGAGTTGATTTGCTTGGTATAACTACGCGCTCGCATAGACAGCAATGAGGAAAACTTATTACAGCATTTCAGAGATTTGCGAATATTTCCCAGTCAAGAAAAACGACAGAATATTACGCAATAATTATAATTTATCAAAAAAGAAAGAACGGCGGGGTACAGTGGCGTAGGAAGATGTTTAAAGATAGGAGGACTGAAATTCTGGGCTGGTTTGGTAGGGGGCTCAACCTCGTTCCCAGGGCTTTCTTGTGAGGACGAGTAGGGGTTTCGGGAAAGTTTGAAAAATGAAGTCTAGGAATAGCATTTCTACACTTTCTGGTGGCAAATTTAAGAAATTGAACAGCAGAAATATCGACAAGAGTATGTTTAATAATTTTTTTCTAACTATGCTATGCGTAAAAATAAACTGCAATGTTCATTAATTCGCCTCTTTCGCGAGCGACTCGTGCAGTACCAAAACGACAAAATTTGGCAAAACACGGTAAAAAAATGGTGTCTAGTAATGAAGAGAGGGCACATAGCCTTAATGAGAAGTCTGATTATATTTCCTGCCTGACCCTGACTGCACAATTATACCTCACAATTCCCTCTTACCCCCATGCAGTGGCGTAAGAACCGCCCTATCACTTTGCAAACAGGGATAAATTAGCTGAATTGATAACAAATATACGCATAGCATAGTTAGAAAAAAAATATTAAACATTCTCTTGTCGATATTTTTGCTGTTCAATTTCTTGAATTTGCCACCAGAAAGTGTAGAAATTCTATTTCCAGACTTCGTTTTACAGACATTCCCGAAGCCCCTACAAAACCAGCCTACCTACGCCACTGTACCCCATATTTCTTTCTTTATAAATTATAATTATTGCGTAATTCTGTTGTTTTTTCTTGACTGGGAAATATTCGCAAATCTCAGAAATGCTATAATACGTTTTCTTCATTGCTGTCTATGCGAGCGCGTATTTATACCAAGCAAATCAACTCAAAATATTGATAAATAACAAAAAAGGTAAAAAAATAGCATTCCACGTTCTAGCGTTCCAGCATTCCATGTTCCAGCGTTCCATGTTCCAGCATTCCGCCTTTTAGTGCTAACCAGAATTTTGCATTATTGTGACAGCATGAAGCTATATAATCAAGGATTCCCATTTTTATACAATACATTTTTCATGGGGGGGGGGGCAAAATTTTGCCAGGGGGGCCGGATCCCTCGGCTCCAGCCCTGGCTACGCCTCTGTTCAAACTTTGAGCCGTATTTAGTGATTCAAATTTCAAACATCGTTTAAAATTTATATAAAGTTTATTTCTCTTTGTGTATTATGTTTAAACATATCAATGAAACACACAGCATAACTTCAATAAACTTATTAAGCTTTCCTAGCTTCTCATATGAAATCAAAAGTCTATTCTGATATTGATATGCCAATAACAAAATTAGAATAACAACAGTGCAGCATTACCATATTAGGTAATGATAAGCCGTTGCCTATAATATTTAAAATAACACAACAATCCATTATTTACCGTAATTTATAAACAAGTTAAAATAAATCACTACCAGCATCTTACAAGACCCCTTACAACAATTCCAAACCATGGCAAGTGCTCTTTGAAGAATTAAAGTCGTAATAAGCTTAAACAACGGCATAATTCATGTTTGACGGCAGTATGTCTATTTATAAATGTCGAGCGGAGTACTGGATCCAAATGTACTGATTTTCGTACATAAGTCTGGTGGGCCAGTGTTTTGCAGAGCCTCAGCAAGCCTCCACAGAGGATTGCGGGCTCTGGTTTCGAGATTGCGGTCGTTAGGGCTATTTCAGATCCGTCAGAGCACCTAGTCACCAGGCTTTTGCTAACACGGCCACAAAATTCAGTATGGCGGCTGACAAGGAGTGGAAGTAATATACTATTGAATACTATTGTCGTTTTTTCTTTATTCTTCGAATATTTTTGTTGTTATATATACAAGAGAGGCGAGGAAACACTAGGTGTCGTATTTTTATCTGAAAAAGACTTTGGCACAGATAAGAATTTATTATATCTATATTAGTTTATATCTTTAATTTTACTTTTTTCAAATAATCTGAAATGACAACATTTAAAAACATGATAGAATATAAATATTGTACGGCGAAGTTGCTAACTTGCTAACACAAGAACTTGTGATTAAATTCCAGCAACTGGTCTAGCTCTGACACTTTGTAGCTCAGTGGTCAGATTACTGTTAGAGTGTTAGAGGGCCTAAAGTTGCAGCTGCTCCCAGTTACGTCTAATATTATATATAAATTTTCGTTCGAAAATTCCAGCTACTGCATCAGTACACGGCCAACATATTTAATAAATCATCCATTAAATAATAATCCTTTTTTACCTGATTAAAATAAGCTAGTGTAGCCAGGGTAAACTTTATTTCCCAGGGGGCCCTATGATGTCACAATTGTAAAACAGGAGAAATGGTGTTTTACAATACATTACACTTTATTGCACATTATCTCGCCCTGATGCAGGTAGGATTTATATTCTCCGTTAATTTAATTTAAACAATCTTGTATCAATATTGTATTACCGTATGCTGGGGGCTGAGGCAATGCAGGTTTTCTGGGGGGGGGGGTTGCAGGGGTTTTGCACCCCCAAAATATTTTGCACCCCCAGAAAGTTTTTCCACCAATCTAGTGAAATTTGAACAACCCCCCAGAAATTTAAATGCTCACTGGATTAAATGACAGTAGTGTGATTGAAATAAGGATTTTGACAAATTTCTCAGAATTTCCTGGGGGCTTCGGCCTGTACCCCCATTACCTACTGTGCCCCAGACCCTGCTGCAGCTTGTTTGGCAGTGCTACACACCCGTCGCTCAAATTCCTACCTATATTTTCGGCACCCCCCCCAGCAAAATCTGAATATCAGTCTATGCCCCTGCCCCCTCCTTTCTGCACTGAATGTACAGTAGCATGCTAATTAGTTTTTGGTTTACATTTCACCCATATGGCTGAGCTCAAAGGGTGCACATTATGGAGAGTGCAGAGGGTGCCAACCAAGCGTGTCGGAGCGGGTGACATTCTCGGGGGTCCGGGGGCATTCCAACCCTCCCCCCGCCCCTGGAAAAATTGTAAAACTAGAGTATCTGAAATGCCATTTCCTGCATTTTAGAAGGAGATTTACAGAGTTCCAAAGGTAACAAAATCTCATAAAATATCTTAAATTATTTTGTCTATACACCCATTATAACTGAAATAATATCAACTAATTTTGTGGTTTATTATTGACCATTGTTAAAACGAGGGGCCCAAAGACATTTAGCCCAAACCAACTAAATAAGTGGAGAGGGGTTCCCTGCTTCCGACGCCCCTGGTGTCCGACTTTGTAGTTTGTACCTGGGTATAATGTTGTTTTGTTTAAATTAAAACTAATCCCCAAAACCCAAAAACCTATGTGAACAATACAATATTTAAGTTAATTTATTAACTTTGAGAAAATTCAAATTCTGGCAGGGCAATCACAACAGCTTGTGCCAATTACTACAATCACTAGAATATAGATTTACTTAAAATACCTATTCCCCTGTCCATCCTATTTTTTCGTGCTTGTCCTTTTCATGTGACATTGTCTAAGTCACAATACTACACTGGGGACAAGGTTCACTACTAACAGCATAGCAGCTGGTATCAATATCGCCAAATAGTTAAATTAAAAGTATACAATTATAAGAATCCAGTGACAAATCAACATATTGTAATTGTCAGCCCACCCTCCAGTCAATGCTCACAATATTTTCCCAATCTTGGCATTAATTAACATTAATTAACACTAGGGCAAATCAAGCTTGACAATGCCTCTAAATATTAATGATACCCTCCCTAAAGTTGGAGGGTATTACACCAGGCCTTATTTAGGCCTGTTTTAAGTTTGGCCTGTTTACCGTGATCACTCTATATTACCCTCTGGAGGCTTTTCAAGCACCGTTGATGGGGTGAGGTTATCTGTAAAATTATATAATTTTGTGTATTAAAACAAATTGGTGTCAAGAAACGAATAAATCTAATCAAAATACATGTGTTTTTGTATGAATAGAGGGCTAATAGAGAGGGGGCTTAATAAATTTATTCATTTAAGGGAGTGGCAGGTTATTAGAGAAGGCTTATTTGAGAGGAAGGGCTTAATAGAGAGATTATGGTAATTAACCCATTGAGTGGAAGCACTTTCCCCCTGACAAGTAAAATTCAATTTTACTTGTCAGGGGGAAAGTGCTTCCACTCAATGGGTTAATTACCATAATCTCTCTATTAAGCCCTCCCTCTCAAATAAGCCTTCTCTAAATTGTCTAGCGTGAGACAGAGTAAAATAATCTGGCATTAAACAGAGTAAAATAATAAAATAGGGTGTATTCCCACTTAACAGGTTAATGACGCATTATATGGGATTACAGCCTCTGAGGGCCCAGAGCAATATTTAGGCAGGGCTACATATACACCCACACTGACACCCATACAAAACTAATACAAAGATGGTAAGGATGGTATCTAGAGTGTGGTATTTTCTACACCATTTACAGTGGTGATGTCAGGGCTTAAGGGGTATGCAGCCTTCTACCAGATTTCGACTGATTTCAACTTTAATAATACTTAATTTCCAATTGATATAGCACATATTTACAAGAAAAAATCCAACTATTTTTAGCATGTGTATTGTTTTCCAGGGATATGTATAGTGCCAGGTGTTTGTCAGCAGGAGACACATATATAATACTATACTGACAGGTTAACATATAAAACACCAGAAAATCAGGGGTGGTGCTTGCCCTATTTTGTTGGGTAGGTAAGTGAAATAATATTGCAAGTCATTTTGTAGTTTTGCCGACTCATTAAATTAACCAAGTAAATATGCATGCATATCCTTCAAATAGAACAACATCAACAACAACCATATTATAGAATGAATTTATGTTGCCCACATGGGTGCTTTTGCATACATGCTGCTTTTCTAATTCATAATAACTTACTGTACGTAGCAAGTCCTAATAGTATATAATATAAAAATAATAGTATATACATAGGTGTATGGGGTTGGGGCGAGGAGGAGTGGCTCCCCCCTCCCCCAGATTGTTTGGCAGACTAGGCTAGTTGGGCAATATTTGCTTCACAGTCGGGCAATATTGGCTTATTATAAAAATAAATTGGAGGAAAAATATAAAAGTTATAATATATTATATATAAAACACCCCTAATTTTTTTCTCCTCCCCCTCCCTCGCCAGTTTGTACGGAAAATTTTTTGACAAGTCGGGCAAAATGGGTATACAACTGTATAAATGTGGTTAAAAATCTTAAAATACAAATATTTTGGTTCGTTCCTATCCAATTCATGTTTTGCTGACTGGGAGACAATTTGCCTACTGACTGACGAGTGTTTTTCCCCCTACACCCCCTCACCCTGCCAGAAATAAACAAGTACATAGCAATTATTTGATACACACAGGTGAACAATTAACGAACTAGGTATTTAAATTAATGACATCGTAAACACGGACAGAACGCAGTATCAATACTTGAACAGCTATCATTCATTAGTCGTATACACTATAAATTATACATGTAATAATAGAATGTACTGTTCTAATTTTTTTATCAACCACTATGACTGAGAACAAAGAAGAACAATTCTTATCTGCAATGAACAATTCTTATCTAAGTCTTTTTCAGATAAAATTAAGATACCTGGTGTTTCCTGTCATCTCTTGTATTTATAACAACAAAAAATATTTCGAAGAATAAAGAAGAAACAACAATAGCATATTACTTCCACTCCTTGATCAGGCGCCATATTGAATTTTGTAGCCGTGTTAGAAAAAGCCTGGTGACTGGGTGCTCTGACGGATCTGAAACCATTCTAGTACCCAGAGCCCTTCTTACGCGCGGTGCGACGAGGGGCTCTGGCCAAATCCATAACCGGATACCATAAAAACATGGTAAGAAAACAATGTCCGGTGTTAGAACTAGCCAATCAAATGCCAGTTCGGAATATGGATTTGGCCAGAGCCTCTCGTCGCACCGCGCGTAAGAAGGGCTATGGGTACGAGAATGATCTGAAACATTCTCGTACCCAAAGCCCCATTCTCGTACCCAGAGCCCTTCTTACGCGCGGTGCGACGAGGGGCTCTGGCCAAATGCATAACTGGATACCATAAAAACATGGTAAGAAAACAATGTCCGGTGTTAGAACTAGCCAATCAGATGACAGTTCGGAATGTGGATTTGGCCAGAGCCCCTCGTCGCACCGCGCGTAAGAAGGGCTATGGGTACGAGAATGGACCCGAAATAGCCCTAACCTTTCTGAGCGCCATATTTTGATATTATCGAAATCACTAGAGTGGTAAATTTGTCTTTCGAGATTTGCACGCGGGGGTTGATTTTATGTACCACGTGATGAACTTTTTGAACACCTCGTGACCGCTTCGAAACTTTCAACGGCGTTCGTAAACAATCTGCGATGTTCTAGTGGAATTGATGCTTTAATGATTGAGAAAATTATTTTTAGAGCTCTTTAATAGTAATACTAATTTGAAGGTAGAGTCTACAACATTCTTGAACTGACACAAAATTCACGAATATTCAGGTTGTTTGGCTATTTTTAGACTACAATATAATATTCAGTATAGACATGCAACCACACTGAGGTGTAGGATTTGTAGTAAATACTTTTTCTTTACCTTAATTTGTAGTTCCAAAACATGCTTGGGCGTTTATAGTTCTTTTCAGAACTTTAGAATTACAATTCGCATAATCAGAGTACTATTTAAGCAATGTTCCCTGACAATCCCTGTCAAACATCGCAGATTCTTTACGAACGCCGTTGAAAGTTTCGAAGCGGTATGACGAGGTGTTCAAAAAGTTCATCACGTGGTACATAAAATCAACTCCGCGCGTGCAAATCTCGAAAGACAAATTTACCACTCTAGTGATTTCGATAATATAATAATTCGTGTTGTTTGCAAACTGTGTCTCTGAATATTCTCATTTTTATGATCAGATATTCTATAAGAACCGAAGTATTATGAAGATTCAATAAAGCACGACTCGAGGGAACAGTTGGGTGATATATTTATCGATATTTGACCGTACGGGGAAAAGATCAAAAGCTGATACCATGTCTAGAAAATACGAGGTTTCAGCGGCGGCGGAACAGATTTCATTCTGGGGGAGCTAAATTTTTTCGGCGACCTCCCCCCCCCCGAAAAAAATTTTTCGGACTTATATCTAAAATTTTTTTCCGAAATAGACTTTTTTTAAACAAAATATTGCAAATTTGTCCCCTCATACCTAAATTTTCAAAAAATAACCTAAATTTTTCCGTAATTATCAAAATTTTTTCCAACAATTCAAATTTTCTGGGGGGGCTAAGCCCCCCCACTTTTACTTCTGGGGGGGCTTTAGCCCCCCTAGCCCCCCCTGTTCCGCCGCCCCTGCGAGGTTTGTAACAAGGTATTTTCTACGAAAGGAAATTTGGTGAGACATAAAACTAAAAGAACACACACTGGAGACAAACCTTATGAATGTGATGTTTGCAATAAAAGATTTTCAAAGTCGAGCAATTTATCCGATCATAAAAGAACACATACTGGAAACAAACCTTATGAATGTGATGTTTGCAACAAGAGATATTCGCAGTCTGGTCACTTAACTGTACATAGAAGAACACACACTGGAGACAAACCTTATGAATTTGATGTTTGCAACAAACGATTTTTACGATCACGTACACATGTTAGCGGTTCATAAGAGAACACACACTGGAGAGAAACCTTATGAATGTGACGTTTGCAACAAGAGGTTTTCGCAATCAAGCCACTTAACAAATCATAAGAGAACACACACTGGAGACAAACCTTATGAATGTGATGTTTGCAATGAAAGATTTTCACATCCAAGCCACTTCGCAGTTCATAAGAGAATACACACTGGAGAGAAACCTTATGAATGTGATATTTGTAAGAAGAGATTTTCACAATCGAGCACCTTAGGTAGACATAAAAGTACGCATACTAGAGACAAACCTTACAAATGTGACATTTGCAACAAGAGATTTTCAGAATCACACAAGTTAACACAACATAAAATATCAGCACACAAGAGAAGTCAGAGTTTTGAGTGTGATAACTCATGCAAGAAAACAGTCACACAACGAAAAAGTCTCAAACGTCACTGGAGATCACACTTGAGAGATGGGTTATTATTGTGTCACACCTGTGGCAAAGAAATTATTCAAGGTCAAGGACATGCTAATAATATACTGAGTGATGATCAATTTGACTGTGACAAATGCAACAAACTGTTCCCTGATATTGAACGTTTAAGTCAGCACAAGGCCAAAGACCATGGTACATCCTACCAATGTGATTTGTGTAAGGAATTAGAAGCAAGAGAACCAACTGGTATTGGTTATATCTGTTGTGTCTGTGATGCCGAGTTTGAAATTGCTACTGAACTTGAAGATCATATGAGTATGCACGACAATGTGCTGCCTCACTAGCTAGGCAACATAAATTGAAGTTATTTTGGGCAATACTATTGTTCCCAGTAAACTGTGAAACGACCGTTTTTTAGGCGGTTTGTCAGTGCTATTAGTTTTGTCAATTACGAAGGACATATTTGTTTTCCTTGTGATCACAATTCGTTGCATGTGGCGTGTGAAAAACTGACAGTTCTGCAAGTTAAATGGGTTTCTGATTTTATTTGTCAATGAGTGCGTAGTTTTGATTTAAAATTCAAAATTATGCACCTCATTGGCCAATAAAATTGGAATCCCATTTAACTGTCAGAAATGTCAAACTGAAACTTGCAGTTTTTCACACGCCGCTTGCAACGAACTGTGATCACGGGTTACACAAATATGTCAAAACTATCACTGACAAACCGCCCAAAACAGGTCGTTTCGCAGTTTACTGGGAACAATAGTTTGTTGTTTTGATATATCTCTTAAAATTCATTTGGGATTGTTTTTGACTTGTTTTGGGATTCTTTTAAAGCTTTTGAAATGCAGTATAAACTGTTTGATACTGAAAATAATATTGATATTATCGTGGTGACTGATTTTTTGATTCAGGAATACATTTATCAACTGAAATCATTTTGTAATTATCTTTTGCTTTTGGTTACAAATTTATTAAGTTTGGATTATATATAGTGTAAACAAATGTTGTTGTTAAAGTATTATTACATTTTGATAGTGATATTACTTCATTTTATCATGGCAATATTATAGTTTCTGAAGTTGCTGTATTTACCCTCTTAAGCCATCATGAAATCAGGCCCCGTCTCTAATAACTCCCCCCTTTTTTAGATGAATAATTTTATTAAATCCCCTCTCTGTTTATACAAAAAAAAACAGAAGTCTTCAGCTAAGATTTATTAATTTTCTCCACACAAATTTTATTTATAAACAAAATTATAAATAAGCTCCCTCCCCTTCCTCAAAGGTGCCTCGAAAAGTAGGCCCCTGGTAGGGGGTTTATTACAGCGATTACGGTAGATTTATTCTTATATGGATGTTGAGTTTTCCAAATGGATTAACTTACGAGAAATCTCGCTTCGCAATGCCAATGGGGAATGGGAAATAATTTCTCACACGCGGGAAAGGTTTCGTCCAATCAAATGATACAACGATGAAAATATGAATATAAATTTGTTCTTGGCGGGAAATTTCCCGCCTGGCTTTCGTGGCGACTTTGTTTATTTTGCTTAAAGTTGAACACTTTATTTTGTCGCTTATAAATATCGAGACTGTCAGAACATTAGCAGAAAAATAATGAAAAGGAGGATGTAACAGGTGAGTGGTTATAATTTTGTATATGAGAGTTAATTTTGAACGGTCTCAGTGTAGATTATTAGTGTCAATAATAGCAAAACTTGGTTGATAGGAATGGAAGTGGGTGGAAAATACAAGGGAAATTCGACGTTTCGAGCGAAGGCACTTCGTCTGGGAGTTAGTAGACAAACTTCTCGACGAAGAACTAACTTAACGACGAAAGAACTTCGCTCGAAAGGTCAAATTTCTACCTGTATTTTTCAAGTACATCACTATCAGCCATTTTGTTATATAAGAGTTACCATCTAGCGCAAACATGGCTTCCACAATAGTGAAATATAAAACATGAAACACTGACTCGTTCACTTTGGCAAAACAAATCGTTGCGAGAAAGATGTATCATGCAGTTTCCTCTATTCAAAATGGTCCATCTCTTCCCATGAGGGTGGATTAATTTAATTTTTCGTTCATGTTAATGCTTTTATTCTCCAGTATCTGTTGCAAAATCTCGCAGACTCGCACATCAATATTTTTGTTTTTGTAAAGTGGAAACACCACATAAATTCTTTCTGGGCGCCATATTTTTGTTTCGTTCCCCGCAGGAACGAAACGGTACTGTATTCAACCTCGTTGCCAGTCTCTTCCCTCTTTTTGAGGAAAGACCCTGGTCGGGGCTGGTCACGTGACCCATAGAAAATTGATAACCTAAGAGGGGGATGGAAAAGTATCAAATTACATTTTTCCACTTCCGCACTTCACACTTCGATTGCAGGGAGTGACCGTTCTGTACAATCATCTTTGAGAATCATATATACTTCAAAATACTTGCTAAATTGGTTTCTGTTTGCTTTTAAATTGTACAAACATGCTAAACTGTAGATTCTTTAATATAGCAACAAACAAGTCAGAAAATCAAGCAACGAAAACGTATGATCGTATATGCTTGGAAATATTCGCCCTTTTATTGCCTCGGGGGTTCGGGCGCAGTTTCATTTCACGCGTACGTTTCTGTATCTGGCTCTGGTTCAGATATGTATAATATATTTAAACGGCCATTGAATTGTTGTCATATGGAAGCGGTATAAATTTTCTTAAATAGGGGTCTCAAAAGCGACTGTGTAGGTCGTAGGCGTAGCGCGTTGCTGGTCTTAAAGCAAACGTTACACATTTGGACACTAGCCAAATAGACCTTGAATGTCCATTCTATTGATTCTAAAACTGTTTATAGACATAGTGCTCTAAATTTTTAATTTTTAAAAAGGTTATCATCGTTTATATTCAACACCAGATAGGAAGGAGTGTTAACGTACAAAATTGTTTGGGATCGACAGTAAAGAATTCTACGACAATTCACAATTGTGTGCATTTCCTTTTTTGTCTGCACGAGCACCTATTTGTTGAAGCCAAAATATTGCACAGAATCTCCGATATGAATTATTTAGCCATTCACCCTCGCCCCTTGAATGCAAAGGGATGATAGCCGAAAAGGTTTAGCCATGTATTTTTTATTATATCTGTTATAAAGTGTCCCTACGTTTTACTAGTCAGGGTTATATATACATGATGATTCATAGACTGTATATGCGCACGAATTCCAGCTCATAGAATTACTTAATAATAAGACTTTTAATAAGACTTTTAAAGTTTCCATTGATAACAAGACGCTCTGTTGAGCGTTTAGTCGCTGGGCCTATTAAAATAAGGTCGTCTGCGCAGGGCTTCTGCGCTTATTGCTCTCTCTTCTGAGAGCAGTGTATAAGCGCAGAAGCCCTGGGTACGAGGTTGATATCATTTATTGGATTTATCTGGCTTAGGCCAACTTCGAGGACACTGGAAACCAGGCTTAAACTCCACATTTTGACCGGCAACTCCACATTTTGACCCTTCAACTGATTTTCTCAAAAAATTTAATGCCCCCCCCCCCTCCCACCTTCTAGGAAATTATTTATACTCATGAGGTCATGGCCCCACCTTTTGCTCCCTCCCCCTCTTCCATAAATAAGGACTGGTCCCTAACTGCAGGAAAAATATGTGCACTTCACAGAACATTTATAACAATTCATAATGTATTACTTTTGCCTCAGGCTGGGTAACCACAACAAAAGTTGCCAAATAGGCCTTTTGAAGGTAGCTTGCGTGTCAGGCTCGATGCTTGAAATAGAGCCTGTTATACCCTGTGAGCAAAGTCCTCTCGTATTTCTTCTCGGCACGGCACAGAGAAGCGAGAGACTCTGCAGAACTTGCGTATAAATTCATTTGAGCATGTGCGAAGGTTGCTAAGCAACTGCCTATTTCCCAGAAGAAGATTTAATAAGTAGTTTCCGGTTCGGATCAAAACCGGTTATAAAACTGGTATCAAACCTGAAATTACTCATAATTATCCAAGTTTTTGGATTGTCGGTTCCACAAAGAATATACACAAGTTCTGCAGAGTTTCTCTCGTGCTGAGAAGAAATACGAGAGGACTTTGCTCGCAAGGTAAGCCTGTTACTGAAGTCAATAAAAAGTGGGCAGTGATTGGGATGCACAAAAATAACAACCAATCAAAATGGCGATTGTTAATTACGTACCAGTCAATTCCAGCAGTGCTCATCCCCCCCTGGGAAGAAAATGGCTATGTCCACAAGCCATTTGCAATCACTTTAAATATAAGTTTTCCAGCAAATCTACCAAATCTCCCATGATGGAAAATATCAAAATCCTTACCCCAGGGGAAAAAGATATCGGCAATAGCCCCACCCCCGTGATTAGGAAAAGCTGCAAAGGCCCAGGGGTTGGAACTGCTGGAATTAATTGATACATTAGATTATCAAAGCCAATTTAAAATATGACAATAACGGCCAACTTTTCCACCAATATCTCAATACTAAATATTCCAATTTTCATCGAATGGCCAGGAAATACATATTAAATAATAATAATAATAATAATAACTGCTATTGACTGCAGCAAAGGCAGTCATTAACATGGCCAAAAGTAGCTAAAGTACAATTACAAACTACGGAATATCATTACGTAACCAACAATTTGGCATTACCTTAAAAACAAAGCTATTTATTTCTGACCAATGGGAATTTTGCGTACGAATCATGTGCATCAATCCTTTTTACTGACCTCAGTAGCAGGCTTTATTTCAAGCATAGAGCCTGACACGCTAGTTACTTTTAATAACCCATTGAGTTGCATTGACCCCCCCACACACACTTAATTTCAATACATTGTTTTCACCATTGTGTTTATACAACCTTGCAAATTTACTAGTACGAATTTCCATTGTGTTTGCAGCCCTCACACTTTGTGTTTCATTATGGCATCTTGACCTTGAAAGAGTCTATTACTGTGGCTCCAACATTTTCCCGTTCGGCGTTACATTCGACAATACATTGATCATAAAATGACTGAAATATCACAGAGTTAAAAGCCTGACACCTAGCGGCAAAGTTTAAATTTCACGCAAGTAGTGATGAATGGTGATCACTGTGGTTGTATTTCGGTCTTGTTAGGCTACACCATGTTCTTTTGACCACCTATCCGTAACAGGATTATTTGCATCAACAGCCGTAAAAAAGCACCCAAATAAACAGCAGTATGCGAATAGTTTGCGAATATTATTGTTGCGATTTACAAAGGTTGCGGCCCGTTCCAACTTTGTAAAATTGAAAATTGTGAACTTTTTCCTCTATTTCAAGCTTGTAGCCTTCCAAGTTTACTCACATAAAATGACTTTCGCTTTATAAAGTCTGTTTCATCGGAAAACTTTTAAGGTTCATCGGAAAAATAAAAAAATATGTACAAAATCGATTATACCATTCGCTGGTAGTAAGCGGCCATCTTGAATTCAGCGACGAATAGTAATGACGTAATTTTTATTTTTTATTAAAGACGTAATTGTCATTTTGCATAATTGTGGCTAACCATCCAAGATCCAACACAAATGCGTGCCGAAACCTAGAGTCGCTGTGAGCTTTGCCCAGCGACTAATTAATAACTTGGTTTTGGATTTTAGTTGTTTACGTACTGGCGTACGTGTTGTTGTTGTAAGTATTGAAAAAGAATAGTTAACCGTGCAGGCCGATTACAGTTGATTTCATATAACTTTTCCACAAATGTTGCGTACTTCGTTCCGAACTTCGTTGTATTGAAATTCACAAGCCGGTTTGTAAATATGTATAAATCTTTATTAAAATATTAAAAGCAACACCTCACAACAAACGTGCGGGCTTACAATTTGCACTTACTTATCAATAATTATTATACTAATTACTGTATTAGTATTGATATTATTCATTAATAGAGCTA